AGGCTGATGCCACCCTTTGTGGCACTCGATGCCGACAGCACGCGCTCACAAGGAAAATACAAAGAAATCGACGAAAACAAAATGTCGGCATAGCACAGTCAGCACCACAGACGCGTGCAGAAACACGCTCTTTCACGCGCTTCTGAACAAAAAATAAAAATAAACGTGTGGGACAAAATGGCGAGATGTCACCACCCTAAGCAAAGCGCACATGAAGGCACCCTAGCGTGAACTATTGTTAGCCGCGCATGCTAAAAACGCGAGCTATTGGGAGTATTCACTGGCGGCCATAGCTGTGTGCGCGACTGCTGAGCGCATGCTGACGGCGAGCTTCCCCAGTTCTTTCGCCACGTGCATTCCGCATTACCAGGATTGCCGGTCTTAGCAGCCTATTAACGCGAGCTCGTTCCGAGCATGCGCTCTAAACATCGCCCTCAAATATGGCGTCCAGTGAATACTCCCTATATGAAGCCTCGGCGGCTGCACGATCGCTCGTGCGGCGAGTGCTCCAGTCAAGGCAGCCAATTCTACCCGCTGGCGCTTGCACAACCTTCGCAGTTAGCCAATGCTAAGGTGCAGAACCCAGGGATTCTGGGTTCGGTCCCCACTCCTGCCCGTTTCGATCTGGATGAGCATCGTATACCGGCGTGCGGTCGTGTATCACTACTGCGTGGTGCACGCGGACCCCAGGCTAGCAGTTGTACCGCACCGGCTGAATTGCTCATCTACAGTTGAGACACGTCTCCCGTTGAGGCAGACTCTTCTGGTTTCTAAAGTCGTCTACGGTCTAAATTACCTGCGCCTGACCAATACCCAAGAAGTAGCGCCGATCGTACTCAACAGAAAGGCAATGAGAGTCATTACAGGCTTACCCAAGTTTACACCGGTTGAACAGCTTGAAGCTGCCGCACAGATCAATACTCTGCGTGACATTGCCAAGGAGATGGTCGTTGGGCAGGAAAATCGCCTTTCCAGATCTCCATCGGGCAGAATCATTCTTACCAAACTCGAGAAACATGAGCTCCTCGTAAAAACAGCAGCAATGCCAACTCCATCTCCGCCATGGGAGAACGAGCTTGTCGTCCCGATCAAACCAGTACTCAAGAATCAAGGAAAAGAACGCAAAGGAAGGCGCAAGCACGCGGCTGACAAACACCTCGAAGAGATAAATTCACTGACCGGTGCCGAAGTCATGTATGCAGATGCTGCCAGAGACGACGCGGGCCGCTCAGCGATTGCATGGCACTCTGTCTCCAGGAACACCACATGGAGTGGCATCACGCACAAAACCAGCAGCCCGAAAACGGCAGAGTTATTAGCGCTGCTTCATGCCATCCAAGAAGCGGCTCATACGCTACCCCGAACAGTCACTGAAGCACGCATCTTCACTGATTCCCGTGAAGCTCTGCAAGAATGCGGCCGGGGCAACAGCACAAATCCGGTGGCAAAACAAATCAAGAGCATCATTGTTGAATCTCGTCCGCGAGTCAACATCGTGCTTGCGTGGGCCCCCGGACACGAAGGTGTCCCGGGGAACGAGGCGGCGGACGAGGCCGCGAGGGCGCAGCTACATGCAGGTTTTATGCCCTCACCTGATCCGCCCTGCATGCACTGCGGGATTCCAGCCACGTGCATCCATCTCGTCTGGACGTGCGAGGGGGTCGCAGAGCACCGTAACGACGCCACAAACTCACTCCCTGAAGAGGCAAGACCAGCTACGTACGAGGACTGGACCCGCCTCAGGCTCGAGGACCCACACCGCAAACACATTCTCGATTCCCTGATTAGTTTCGTCCGCTCATCGGGGATCGCCTGTTACCATTTAGCCTCCTCCCCCTACCCTTCCCATAATCGCCTTCCCCCGTCACGATTGGATGACTTTATCAAGAAATCGTGATGTATCCGATTCCTTTAATAAATACGTTTTCTCACTTACTGAGTTCTAGGCTGTATAAACATACACACAACCCATTTTTTTTCCCCTATACTAAGGTGAGACGAACTATTTGGGGCCAGAAGTTTGGGTCATGCCACCCGGTGGAATTTTTTCACAACCCAGAGTGAGGATACTTCCTCTGCTGGTACAAGCACGTGTAATGTCAAGCCTATACACTGTGAAAATTAAAACATAACCGCGCGCATGCACCACCCATAGCGAAGAAAACAGCAGCGCCCCTCGCGAGCTTCTCACCGTGAATATATAGTAACCTCTACTGCGTGAGGCACTTTAAAGACCCCAAGTTGACACTGCACTAATCAAATGTTTTCATTTTTTTTTTTTTTTTTTTAGTTTGGGAACGACGCATTTTGTCCGGCCCTCTTGTACTTTTGCTACCGCGCGAGCAAACAAGGATGCAGAGCAAAGCAGCATTTTCTACTTGAATGGAAGAAGTTAGGTGCCTCACATGGAGCTGCCCAGTCAGAGCTGTCTGAACCATCGGGAGTTTCCGAGAACAACTCTCTGCTGACGAGGACCTTGAGGCTTTCTCAAGGAATGGAAGGCGGCCGCTACGCGTTCAGCAATTTTTCGCCAAAGTTTCAGGAAATACAGAATCTCCTGGACAGCTTTGAACGTGTGCCTCCAAAAAGCGAAGAGACAGATTTCCTAGAATTTGGGCAGAACAAGCGATTGCGGCGTCCCGAGCTGCATTCGCTCGCTGTCATCGATTTTGCTGTACCTAATAATAATAATAGGTTTATTTTCCAACAAGAAAGGTACAGTGTTGGTGGGGACTTTGGAAAAAAGCTGTGTGTACAGCTTGACTAGTCTTAAGCCCCCAAGTCAGCGTGGAGCGGGTTGAAGTACATTTTGTCTTGTCAACGAACCCGCTTGAACGCAGACATCCTTGACGATGTTCTTTTTCGCGAAATGAGCTGAGTGCATGAACGCTTTCGGAGGTTCCAGAAGTCTTCGTGACGTAAATATCACACGTGGTTTCGGAAAATAAATTATGTCTAATCTGCTTCAAAATCAGGTTTCGCAATTTACGAAGTTATCACAGTAGAAAACACAATTTATTATAAGAAAGGGGAGAAATCTACGAAGTGGTTGTTAGATTGGCTACACTCTGGAAAGCCTTAAACGATGGGCTGTGAATTAGTTTGTATACACCTCCTATTCCGTACCTGCCAAAAAAGAAAAAGAAAAAAGGACAGGTTTACGGCAAGATAGAGTGCTGAGGTATAAGCGCTGCTTGAAGCTCGCGAATTTCCCTCCATTTTTAAGTGACCCGCAGTTGTTCTGATAGTTGATTCATTTAATTGCGGCTGTGGCAGAGACAATTCTTGTTAAACTGTTTCTGATGTCAGTAGAAGGGGGGGGGGGGGGGGATTTCGTAACGATTTTGTATTCGACCCTATTTTTCCGGAGCACTTCAAAGATGAAAAACTTAATCTACCTTAAGCATTTGGCATCTAGCTGAACCATTATAAACTGCGGTTCAAACCGCGGTTTGATCCATTATTATTATTTTTTTCTGTACCGGAACTGACCCCGAACCGAACCTAAATGTCTGAACCGTAACCTGAACCGTAACCGAAATGAGCAGCAGTTCAACACCCTGGACTGCAGCCCGAGCAAAAACTCCCCCATCCTTCTCGGCCCGGGGAGCAAAATGAGGGATTTCTTTCCCGTGTGAATCCCCCTTTAAAGCACATCTTAAAAGTACACGAAGTGAAGTACAAAGTCAATTAGAGGTTATGTACTTCAGGTAAAGTAGTAAATACACATCGGGTGCAATGTACTTCAAGTAAAGTAGTAAGTACATTGGGAGCGATGTACTTGTAGTAAAGAACTATAACTACTACTATACTTTCAAAGTAAGGTACAAGTAATTTCAACACAATATTTCATTGCGCCCTTTCATTCCGCTATCCAGTGATTTTTTTTAAATGCTTTTAACTGGTATGCATTGTACCGGTGGATTTCGGGTGTGCATCAGTTATTTTCGGAAACGGCGAATATTGAACGAAGTCAAGTCGCCACAGAGTAGTTTTACTCCCACTGACGGACGATTTAACACAATCAACTTATAAGCCACTTATTTGTTGACAAAGCATCCTTTTGTGATACAAATTTAAGCAGATCATATTTGAAGAACGTACTTCGAAGTCGGAAGGTGTACTTTCTTTAAAAAGTCCCCCCCCAAAAAAAAAAAAAAAACTATATTTAAAATTTGCGTATATATACTCAGAAAACTTACTTCAAGTAAAGTACAAGTATTTTAAACCTACTTGAAGTAGTACACAATGTGTATTAAAAGTACCTATTTCCCAACACTGCAAAAAACCTCCCCAAATAAAATTCTGAAGATGGTGGATGGTATCGTAAATATTGCAGTTAATGACACACACGCACAACACGAATAATCATATTAAAAATTTCCAGTCAAAGACAACGAATTACGATTAAAAATTGCTTCAATGTAAGTAAATTAGGGTGATTCAAATGAGCTGCCGTAGTCATTCACAGGATGGGGACGGCAGGGATGGAGGTCCCTCAGTATACACCGCATTCAGTGCGAGCTTCCTTACTTCCATAACGCTTTGACGTCTCGTGAACCTCGAGCGTGCACGCGCAGCCAGAGCACGGCGGAAGGCAAAGAGCGCGTCCTAGAGTCCAGACATTCGAAAGAGACGACCTAGCGTTCTCATTCTCTCTGCGCTGCGACTGCAAGTAAGTGTAGTAATACGCAAGAACGGATTTAGAGGGGGTGTCCGGATGTTTTGACCCCCCTCTTGATTTCTGCATGCGTAAAATTTAGGGCGTGACACGAGGGAGAGGGGGTTCCTAAACATATGGTACGCTGACCAACACCTGACACCCCTCCCCTCAGGAAATTCCTGCATGCGCCCCTGCCACCTGGTAATACGCGTTCAACACCAGCGGAACCGCCCGCGCGCGCGATGCTTCAGGAGCGCTACGTTGGCCGCGTGAACCAATAGATGTCGCTCGTTGAAGCCTCCGCGGGTGAAACGAAGCCCAGCCGCCGAACGACTTCAGCGTCCGGTCGCCTCGTGTTGATGAACTTGAGACCCGAGAAGGCCGCCAGGAAAGAGGGCAGCTGCCGTAGCCAATGGCGCCGCAGCCTCTCTCCTCCGTCGACACGTCGCAATCGAGAGAGAAGAGCAAAGGAGAAAGTTGGCGAGCTTCTAAATTCCGCGTCACCGACTTTCTCCAGCAGTCGCGGGACTGCGAAACGACGCGCCGTGCCAGAGCTTCTAGCCTGCGGACGTACACACACACAAACAAGGTGCCACCATGGATGGTCCGACAAACGGAGTGCTCGTGTTCGTCTACAACATTGCGCTGGTGCTGTACTACATCGCAGAAGCGATCGTGCTCAAGTTCGTGCCTCGCCGGTACAGGTCCCGGAAGAGCATCGACGGCGAGACGGTGCTGGTCACGGGCGCCGGCAGCGGGTTGGGTCGTCTGCTCGCCGTGCGGTTCGCCAAGCATGGCGCCCGCCTGGTACTCTGGGACATTGACCGCAACGGCAACGAGGAGACCGCTCGGCTCATCAAGGCGGCCGGCGGCGACGCCTGGGCCTTCACCTGCAATGTCGCGGACAGCAAGACCGTCTACGAGACCGCAGCGAGGGTGAAAGATACCGTGGGTCGTGTGGACATTGTGGTCAACAACGCCGGTGTGGTGTCCGGAAAGAAGCTGATGGACATCTCGGACGAGATGGTGGTCAAGACCTTCCAGATCAACGCTTTGTCTCATTACTGGGTGAGTAGATTGTTAATTAGTATTTATTTATGAGGAATTTCGGCTCAGGTCCTGCATACGTACTCAATTCATGCTAACTTGCGGTATCAAACTGACAATAAAAGTAAGTACACTGATGACCATGAACATCTCCCGAACACTTCCGACGTCCCTGCATGGGAACTTGGTTACAAGAAGCTTGGAAGACATTTGACGGGGGAGTGCTCACTTTCACCATAGATTCGGAACCAAGAAACGTCTATTTAAAAAAGCACGAGCGCACAACACTGGCTCACTATGGTCCCAGTATAACAGCCACATAGAGCTGCGCAAATTAGAATTCAATATATATATACTTTTAATTAAAAAAAAAAAAGAAACTTGCTAATTAACAGTTTTCATGAAAAAATGGAAAATACGGAGTCCCCTTAAAAATAATATCTCTACTAATTTTTTGAATATGGGTGGCATTCAAATGTTACCTACAGTGTGTGCAAACAATTTTAATAATTTTCACCGATGAGTCATTCCCATTACCTGATCGTTGCTTTGCCCAAAAACATTCTGTTTCGGCAAAGATTAAAATAGACCCTGATGGCATTGCTAACATCATTCAGAACCTGCCCAACCAGTCTTCTCCCGGTGCCGATAGCATCAGCACCAAGCTTCTTAAACTAACCCAACCTTATGTCGGACTTCTACTCCCACAGCTTTATCGACCATCTTTAGACCAAGGCGCTATGTTGTATGACTGGAGACAGAACATCGTCAGTATTGTTAACAATTCCGGTAGTACATCCCTGATTTGTAATAGGACAATTTCTCTCACTTGTGTTCCGTGTAAAATTTTAGAACATGTTTTGAGCACTCATATAATGAACTTCTTTGTAGATGACGATTTTATTTTTATTAACCAACGTAGCTTCAGAAAGAACAGATCTTGTGAAACTCAATTATTTGAATTATTTACTGATCTCCGCACAAGCATGCATTCACGAGTTCAGACAGACATATTTTTCTCCTGATGTAGAATACCCGAGACTGTGGTAAAAGCTGGGAAACTTGGTCAAAGAAAAGAAACAGGGGAAAAGAACGTTCTTTCCCCTGTCTTTTTTCTTCGACCAAGTTTCCGAGCTTTTACCACACTTTCGGGAACTCTACATCATGAATGATCAACCAGCTCGCCTGCGCACTCACTGTTTTTTTTTTCATATTTTTCTCGACTTCAAAGCGTTAGACCATGTACCACACCAACACTTACAAAAAAAAAAAAAAACAACAACAACAACAACAACAAAAAAAACTTATGTGTTTGAATATTGGTAGCTGTCTAGTTAATTGAATACAAGAATTGCTAATAAATATAACACAAGCAGTTACTCTTCAAAACCGCATCTCAAACAGTATTCACGTGAAATCTGGAGTTCCACAGGGATCAGTTTTGGGCCCACTATTATTCCTCATTTACATTAATGACATACCTACTGACATTTCCTCTTCACTAAGATTCTTTGCAGACGATTGTGCAATTTTAAAACAATTAGGAATGTGACGGACTGCGTTTCACTACGGCATGACCTGGACATCCTTCCATTATGGTGTGACTGTTGGCAAATGAACATCAATACATAGAAATCAAAATACTTGCCCTTCACAACAAAAACGTGCACAGTAATTTTCAATTACGCAATAAGTAATCAATCACTCGATAAAGTAACACCGTACTTAGGGGTTATTTTGAGCGAAAATCTAAACTGGAAGGATCATGTTCATCATGTCACTAGCGAATGGCGAGCTGCTCATAAGGTTTCACACAACTAAATTTATATCTTCCCTTCCTGATGTTAGATATCTTGCTTACACATAGATCATATGTTAGGTCCCAATGAAACTATGCATGCGTCATATTTGGAACACTTTCCAAAATTACTTAACTAATCAAATCAGCAAAAAACAGGGCGGGGAGATTTATTTTCAAAGACTACTCTAGTCACAGAGATGTCTCAAAACTTAAAAAAAAAAAACCAAGTTACCCCTACATTCTGCAGGAAAAAAAACTTTCGCGACTAACCTTCCTCCATAACATTTACTACAAAAAACCCACACCTAAAGGCCAATGTGCTGAAACCACCACATCGAATTTCCCCAAGGCTAGATCACGATGTTAATTCAACTAATACAAAGGTGCAGCGAGCTGGACAAGAACAACGATATTTAATAATCCTCGGAGAAGGTTAACAAGGGGGACCAAGGACAAACAGAAATCTCCGAACACAGCTATGACTGGTGCGCGACTGAAAATCACCACCATAAAATATGTCCAGAGCCAATATTACTGCACGTTTTAAGGTGTTTCCAATACAATTGTCTATATCCGAATGAAACAAGCTGCCAGCCGACATTCCATCTGTGGAAAATCCTGTAGATTTCAAACGTACGTATGTGTGTCATACACCTTGACGTAAGTCTTTTGCTTTTCTGGCACATGCCTCCGTTATATGTATATATTTTGTATTAATTCATTTGTATTTGCTTTGCTTTTAGTATACTATCATTACTAGTTGTCATTATATGTATTTGTTATTATTCTTTCTAAAACTCTAAACTGCCCCCTTCCCCCCCCCCCCAGGTATGCCTTTCAGGGCGCTAATGAGGTATCAATAAATGAACTAAATAAATCAATCAATGAAAGCGATCTCTTTGTGGCACACAATGCGTGACTTGTGGCAAAAGGAAAAAAAAAAGTAGCGTTAAGCATAGCTCATACTGACTCTACGAAAACTCCCTAATAGGCCCAATCAAGTGGCGTCAAAAGTACAAGTCGCTGGGCCTTTTTCTGTTTATGATTGATTCAGCGATCACAGAACACGCACAGAAACATGACGAACACTATGATGGGGCGCTTTTGACGCTGTCTGATTGGCTCCCATCCGCTGGTTACATCGGCTGCGTCTGGAAAGGAATGGAAATTGTTTCGTTTTTCAATTTTGTCAACAGGAAGCTCTAATTGTTGCACGAAAGATGTATACGCGACGCAACTCACCGACGGTGTACTAAACGAAAGTAACATGAAAGCCAAGCACGGGGAAAAACGATGACGAGGTAACTGCATAATTCGATCATCAAGCAAACAAACACAAGATGGCCGGCAGAGTTGCGAGCGTGAGTGTTTGTTTCTAATCGTAGCGACGGGTTCCTTCCATAAAAAGCGACGGTCAAGGAAGCGGGAAGGATACAATTCCTCTATATCCTTCCTGAACAGACAGGATAACGGAACCTGGTCCTAATAATAAAATAAAATGTCGCAAAAAAAAAAAAAAAAGCTACACACAATTTTTTTTAATACACGCACTTTACTCTTTCTGACGTGGAATTTATTCTCTCTAAATTTAATACAACTATTGAGAGAAAATCAAATGAAGGTGATGGCCAAAACCAACATCCAATTTTTCTCGCCCTCTCTAGTAACACGTTGTATAGCTTGAAAGTGAGCAAGGCAGTCTGAACAACACAATATTTTGCGCATTTTTTTCCCTTTTTTGTTGGCGTGAGTTTAACCAGCATTCGTTTCACACCATCATAGGTCTTGTAACCCACCGGGAATAAGCTGTGCTGCCCCCATATTGCCCCGTATTACATCCGACGTCACGTTAGCCCCTCAGACCCTCAGACCAAATTCGAAACTTGAATAACTTCGCGAAAGTGAACTATTCCGACTCGTAATTTAGGGGGGAGGGGGGAGGAAAGAGGGGGTGGGGGGGGGGGGGGGGGGAGATCGGTGGCTGAGTGTGTTGGCCCACCGGAGCTCGGAGCACATGTAGAGCGAAAGCTCGCGCTGCAGAACCCAGGAATAGCCAAGGGAGGAAGCTTATGGCCCGGGGTTTCAGCCTCCCTCCTCCTTCCATACACAGACAAAGCAAAAATTGTCTACGTCACTGTTTCTGCCCGTTTCGATCTGGATGAGCATCGTGCCTGCCTGCGCGCGTTCGTGTACCTGCTGGCTGAACTTCTCAAATACGGCTGAGAAACCAGACGTCATTGGGGCTGACGAACTTCCGGCTGTCTAGACTTACACTACACACACACACACGAACACGCACACCACACAATTTTTTTTACTCGTAACTTGGATTATTTTTTTTAGATGTGTCTAGTAAAGGGACCATGGAATACATTTTGGGCTGGGATAGTTTGAGATTTTAATAATCTCGTAGCGTTTAGGGGGTGTGCCAAAGGGAAGCTTTAGTACCTGAGGTTAGAACGCCGAAAGGTACGAACATTTGAAACTATAGCGGACTATTTCTTTCGTTCGAAAGTTCTCTGCCTTTTCACCGCGATGCATCCGCGGTGCCCGAGCACGTCAGCCGAACCCAGCTCACGCATTGGAATCTGAAGATGTGGGGTTCTGCCGGGCACTGGTTAGTATATTAGTAGGTATAGGAAGGGAAAAGGAGGCGTTCCATAGGAAAGGAGAGGAACGATGTATGCTTTCGTCAAGAATCGATCCGTGGACGAATATTTGAATTCGCGTTCCTGCAAAGAATAAAAGTAATTGTCTCGCTTGTTACGTTTACACAACCTTGACTCGTTGGTACGCCTCAACGGGTGACCTCTCTCTCAGCTGTCGACGAGAGATTTAGCCGGTGCGGTACGACCGCTAACCTGGTGTGTTGAACGTGCACCACGCAGTAGTGATTACACGAGTGCACTGTGTCCCCAGTGCTTCTGGCTACACGTCACCGAGCACGTGACTCGGGAGACGGTGTAAGAGTTGAGCACGGTTGGGAGGCGCCCAAAACTTCAATTGTTTGACAATTTTTTATTAAATAATTAGCGCGAGCAGGGCAAGATTGGGATTTCATTTCTTTACTCCAGACGTTGCAGAGAAGTACTCCCACAATTACTTGACCGATGTTCAAAAATTTCTTGCACGTCGAGCAGCTTTCAAAATGAGATCGGTGGCTTCGACTAAACTTCGCACGTGCGGTCGACAGTGTAACAAATTACGTAGTACGGTCACG